TACTCACAGTCGGGTTTTAGATGTGGGTATAGCACAACAGCACTTCTCATTGGTATGACTGACTCTGTCAGAAAATATTTGGATAGTGGTAAGAATGTAGTTCTTCTTTCAGTGGATCTCTCAAAAGCGTTTGACAGAGTGATACACTCTAAACTTGTTGAAAAATTGTTTATCCAATTTGGTTTTTCATTACTGGCCTGCGAACTTATATGCTCATATTTAAGAGGTAGAAGTCAATTTGTTTCTATTGGCAATTCTATTTCTTCAGATCTCCCGATATCTAGTGGTGTTCCGCAAGGTTCAGTTGTTGGTCCGTTATTGTTCATGATTTACATGAATGACCTTTTTAATGTTTGTAATGTCTATCCTGCCAGCCATACGTTTATGCTGATGATGTTCAGTTTATTTGCTACGCTGATAAAAACTTTTTGGACGTCTTGCAAGAAGGTGTAAATTTTGTAATTAGTGAAGTACTGTCTTGGGCCTCTGATAATGGATTTACTGTAAATCCAAGAAAAACAAGTATGATTGGTTTTGGTTTTGATTCACAAAACATGATAATTACCCTTGATGGTATGAGAGTAGATTTTGTTAATAGAATGAAGTGTCTTGGAGTTTTTATTGATGATCGGCTTAACTTTTCATCACATATTGATCACGTTTCATCTAAAATATCTTTTTTGCTGAGAAGGTTATATTCTTTGGATCTATACTTTCCTTTGTGGATAAAAATTCGCCTTGCTAAAACCTTACTAATGCCTCACATTCTTTACTGTATTGAGGTATTTAGTGGCACTACTAATGTAGAATTTAAAAGAGTTGTTAAAATATTTAATAGAATAGTGAGATTTGTATATGGACTAAGTCTACGTCCCCATATTTCTCCTTATGTATTACAATTTCTTGGGTGTTCGTTTCAAAATTATATTAATATCAGGATTTTATTGATCTTTTATAAAATTATGGTAAATGGCTTTCCTGAATATATTGTAGATAATTTTAATTTCAATCATTACAGCAGAAACCCACAATTATTATATCCCCGGTTTCATTCAAATATATATAATAATTCATTTCAGATTAGAATGTCGAGGATGTGGAATGATCTGCCTAGGGATTTGAAGCTTTTCTCGGCTTCGCCGCTCGGTTTTAGGCGAAAGCTTGAAAAATATGTTATTGACCATGATCTTCGATTGGTGCATTTGTAATTACCGCTCGAATTTTCTCTTTCAACTTGTATTCATTGCTAATATAAAGGAATATAACCATTTAGGCAATTTAATATTATCATTAAATTTTTGTATTGTTTATTATTATTATTTTATTTTTATAATTTTTTTTTTATATTATTTTTTATTTTATTTTTTATATTATTTTTTCATAATCATAATTTCATAATCACAATCAAAAAGTAGGGCAACATCACCCGCATATAAATATGTCCTACTGACATTCAAAGAAACAATCTGCGATCTTCCAAGAAGAATAAATAAGTTTGCAGGCAGATCTTGAAAAGTTAAAATTGTTATGAAGCTTATATACCAACTTAAAGTGAATAACAGAGTTGAATGCCTTAGAAAGGTCTAGAGAGACAAGAAAATTAATCCTATTATTGTTAATGCTGTTCCTGATTGTATCCGTCATACTCAGTAAGAGAGAAGTAGTATTGTGTCGATAAGCAAATTGAGATTCATATAAATTAAATCCAAATAACTGTAATAATTGGTCCTTCATTAAATGCTCTAAAATCTTCGAAAGCACCGGAAGAATCGAAATCGGTCTAAGATCACAAGGACTGTTCACAACCCTCGATTTCGGTATAGGAACAACCCTACCGAAACGTAAGGAAAAATTAATCTTAAAAACCTGATATCAATATCGTCAGTACCAATAGATTTCTACTTGATATTATTAAAAGAACTTATAACATCCTCCTCTCTCACACATCTAAAAGAACCAGAAATCTCAGAATCATCAAAGCCATCAAAGTCAACTACATTATCACTACTCAGCCCAGCAATATTTAAAAAATAAAAAATCATTCACGCAATCAGCATCAAAATCAACCAGCACCTCTAAGAACCTTCCATATACCCGCACTATCCAGACTTCCAAAGACCGTCTCTTTACCCTACGCACGACACTTTTCAATTTATTTCGATGTCTACAGTAAACCTTCCATTTCAGAACAGACCAAGAAAGAAAAATCCCTCACTAACATGAGAAGATACATGCTAATCTTTAACCAAAAACAAATTTACAATAATTTCATAACTAAAAAAGCCAATTATAGAAATTTTATGAGATCAAATTATAAATAACAAAAAAATCAATAAAATAAAGAATAATAAAGAAGTTGAAAATAAAAGACTAAGAGGAAACAATAGAATTTTGAATTCAGGAATACAATAATAATAATAATAGAAATAAGATAAAAGAAAAATAATAATACTAAAAGCAAAAAATAAACATAATAGGAAAAAAATTAATACGTATTCATTATAAAATAAAGTAGAAAATTCTGAAATAGAAAGAAAGAAGTAAATCATTTTTTCATATTACAACTAAACATAAGCATCCTTCCCGGTTCCAGCAAGTAGATCAGCACATCCCTTTACATTGTGAACAACTACATTATTGTTTGGGAAAGTTAATTCCATCTCGAGCTTATCCTTATAAAAATTTTGAATTTATTAATCACTTTCAAACGTAGCAGACGCCTGCACATAGCATTAAGCCTACTCGGCGCCGGAGAAAAATGATCATTTAGGTAGACGCGACTACCAATATTCCCACCGATGACGTCACATAACCTCAAAGTGCGTGTCTTGAAATATTCTTTCATGATTTTATCTCTCAGAAAAACTCTATTAAGTCTCACAAGAATAGACTTGTCCTTATTTATATAACAAGAATGCTGCATCTGAAACATTGTATATGGAACCAATTTTAATAACAGGGTCAATCAGATCATCTAAACCAAGAGGTAGGCCACTTATAATAAAATTAGTACGGTTTATCCTCCTGTACAATATATTATTCTTCTCTTCAAGAGCAGATATTTTAGTTGCTGTAGACGAATTTACTCTGTTGATAAGTTTGCTGCAAGTCAATATCTCTGCCTGTAACTCCTTACGACAAGACAACATCTCTGGCTTCAAGTCATCAACCCCTATGGCAAACATATTCTTCATTTCATTAAAATCATCTTGATTCTTATGAATGAACATATGCATCTTCTTGTTAATACCACTAATCTTATCATGCAGACCATTTTCTAGGACCTTGCGGGGATTAGCCTCGCAGCTATCATAAGTAAATGATAGTGACTTAACCTCCTTAAGCAATGTAAGGATTTCATCATCGATATCGGTATATTTAACATGAAACCAATCCTCACAGCTTTTACATTCAACACTAGCTTGTGTTTTTACAATGTTTTGGGAGCAAGTCCCACACCTATAGCTCTTATTAGGCATTTTTAATAGTCAGGATTTATTATGCCCTATTATGGAACAATCCGAAAAATATTTTACAGAGATATATATGTATACACAAAACATATTTATGTCGAATATTATTCCAATATCTTTATTTCTTAATTAATTATGTGTATGTATATTACAGGGACCGAAAATAATTGTTATTTTTTTCTTTCGAAAGAAAAGGTTACGCAAGAAATCCCTTTATTTTATTTAGGGACTTTTTAACCATTATTATAAGATTCATACTTTTTATTAAAACCCATTTAACATCTAATTTTTAGATAACTTGACTTCATATAGGAGCTATGACCAATTACGGGCCTCTCCAGAAAAATTTCGTAGAGTGATTCATATGTATGTACACAAAACATATTTGTGTCTAATTTTATAAAGATAGCTTTATTTAACTAGCTACGCGTACCCGGCGTTGCCCGGGTTTCTTCTAAAATAAAGAGAATATTATTTTGTCTGTAATGACTATTTTTTTTTTAATAGATGTCAAAATTTAGCTTATAAGGATAAAATAGTTATTATGTTTTTCTGCATTTTGTTTAATACTTAAAGTCAGTTTCTGGACAAAAATGTCCCTTAAGAATTTACTAATTGAAAATGAGCTTTAATTAGGAAATTTTGACTAATTTGTAGAAACATTTAGGAAAGTTTTTTTATTTGAGAAATTATACTGAAATCAGCATTCAAACTGGTAGGAAACTAAGGACACTTTCAAATTAGTTGTTTTATTTTTCCCATGTGAGGTTGATTTAAAGAATTGTTCAGTTTAAATTCGGTCACACTGTACTTTGAATTGTAGTGCCCCTGGTGTATAGAGACAAAAGGCTTCGGGGCATTTTATTAACTACAAAAATACGTACTATTAACCGTACAAAATTTCAAGCGATTTTCTTTCTATTTGAAAAAGTACAGGCAATTGAAGAAACTCTGAAACGATTATGAAACATTCTGCACAAAATTATGAAAAATTTGGAAGATTTCAAATTCCTTTAAAAATAACGAAATTAAGATTTTTTTCTGTTCTAAAAAATATGAAGAATCCTTTCTCAGTATAACACAAGCTTTAATTGTATGCAGACGTGTTTACTTAAAACATACTTTGGGCACTCGGTTATTCTTTTCAACACCGTGTTTTTTTACTTTCATTCTCGTTTTTGATAATTTTCTTAAATTAAAATATCTAATTGTCTAAACAATGGAATCCTCCTCGGGAGGAAACTTTTACTCGCTTTTAGACCCAGATCCGTCCCCCAAGCGAAAAAAAAACAGTAATAATTATAATGTAAATAATACATACGATTTTCCTAACATCGGTGACAAACAAAACAACAAAAAACAATGCCCAAAATATGTAGTAATAAAAAGTAAAATAGCAGACAAACCTATTCAAGGCTTTAATATTTTTCTGGTATCCAAAGCATTAGAATCAGTAACAACAGATCCTGTACAAAATATTAGTTTCACTAGAGACAGAGAACGAAATGCAAGCAAAATAAAAACTGTTTATTTGCCCGGATTATGTGCAGTTGAAAGTTCTTTAAATCCCTCTTTAATTACTATAAAAGGTGTAGCATTTGCTCCATCCCTAAAAGAATTATCCGAACGAGAAATTAAAGATGGATTAAAAACTAAATTTCAGGAAGGTAAAATATTAAATACACCTCTTCACATTCTTGACTTCAATATTGTCTACCAAAAAAAATAAAAATTGGATTTCTAATGTGTAAAGTGGAACAATTTATTCCAAGCCCAATTCAATGTAAAAATTGTTTTAAATTAGGACATACAAACAAATACTGCAACAGCAATTCAATATGTGAAGTCTGCTCGTCATCAATTCATGACCCTGTACTATGCACTAAAGTGCAATGTGTTAATTGCAATCACCCACACCGATCCAACAACAAAAAATGTCCCGCTTTTCAACATCGTCAAAATATTTTAAAATATAAAACAGTAAATAAATGCACTTATAAAGAAGCAACAACAAAAATACCACCAATAACCACACTTGAAATTCCAACAGAAGATCTTGTTAAAGCAATCGAAGAAAGAAAAAAGAGAATAAATATACAAAAAATAATAATATTAACAATCAAACCTCCAACAATACATCAACAAATAATACCCTCACAACATCAAACCCTAAACCATCAAAAGATCAAACTTCAAACAACAATACCAGGAATAAATTAATTGCAACAAACAACCATACCGACAACTCAAACCAAACCCTATCAACAAACTCAAATAATATAAAAACAACTAAACATACAAATACACTTTCAAGAGATTCAAATAACTCAACGCACTCAAGAGATACAAAAATAAACACTTCATCTCAAGACACACCTCTAAGAATTACTAACAGACGTTACACTTTAGATGGAAGAGACGAAATGGAGTAATAAGCCTACTGTAAATTCATTCTTAGAACAAATATGTCAAACTTCAATATAATACAATGGAATATCAAAGGATACCTTAACAACTACAAAGATTTACAGCTCATTTTAAATGAGCATAAACCTCATTTTGTTTCATTGCAAAACCCACTGTTCAGTAAGCATGACTCCAATTCCTCCAAAAAATTACTGTTGCTACTTCCAAAACGTTGCATCAAATATTACGGCTAAAAGTGGTCTAGGAGTTCTAATCCGTGATCATATCCCACATAAACGTATTACAAATACATCTAAATTACTTAACATCTCAATAGAAATTACGTTAAATATAAAAGTTACAATAATATCTGTATACCTACCACCTTATGAAACCTTTTCTCTACAGGATTTCAATGATCTCTTTAACAACATACAAACTCCTATTATATTAATAGGAGGTGTAAACAGTTGGAATGTAATATGGGGATCACATACAACTAACAACCGCGGATCTGTCATTGAATACTCAACCAAAATAATATATGTATTATAAATGATGGTAATCCCACACATTTTTCAACACACAACACTTTTACCCATATAGATATTACCGGTTGTTCGCCGTAGTTACTATCATTAATAACTTGTCATACACTTGATGATCTACATCATAGCGATAATTTTCCAATCAAGACAACACTTTTAATAAATGGAAATATACATTATAAACCACCTATACGTAAATTCAACCTTAAAAAAGCGAATTGGGAACAATATAGATTAATGGTTGACAACAAATTGGAACACAAACAAATGTCAGGTAACATAAACAAAGACAACGCAGTCATAACCAAAGCTATAAGAGACTCTGCTAATCATCATATTCCTCAAACTTCGCCTATTCAAAAACGTTTTGTACCCTGGTGGGTACAATGGCAATTTTTTAAAAAAACACCCATTAAAGGCAAATCTAATTCTATACAAAAAAACCAATTCTAAATTTAGATTGGAATCTAAAAAAGCCAAAGCTATATGCTTTGAAAACTTTAGTAAAACTATATCTAGGGATTCCCCGTTATCATACATATGGAAGAGAATTCACATGATTTCGAGTCGCAAAACATATAAACCTGTGACAGTAAGCTATACCCAAACCCAATAAGGATTTAACAACATTTATAGACCAATATCTTTACTATCATGCTCTCTAAAGTCATGGAAAGCATTATTGCTAACAGAATTAAATGGTATATTGAGAAAAGGAAACTTGTTGCTGTTAACCAAGTTGCATTTAAACAAAATAAAGGTTGTGCAGATGCTTTTTTACACATCGATTTCTGTGTTTAAAAATCGCTCTCATCAAGAAACCACACATATATTTTAGGAATAGATTTCGAAAAAACCTTCGACCGTGTTGGAATACACATAGTATTAGATACATTGAAAGACTGGGGTATAGGCCCTAATATATTTAACTACGTTAAATCATTCTTAACTGGAAGAACAATAAATGTAATAATTAACCAACAGCTATCAAACAAATATCCATTAAAAAACGGAATTCCTTAGGGCTCACCGCTATCAGTCGTTCTTTTTCAAATAGCTTTTAATCAAATTAGCAATATCATCAAAAAGCACAAATATATTGATCACTGTCTATATGCTGACGACCTTTATATTTTATGCAAAAACAATGATACAAAAAAAAATCAATGACATGCTTAAGGAAGTAGTTATCGATATCGAACTTTGGACTAAAATATCAGGTGCAAAAATTTTTCTTGAGAAATCATCTATACTTCATGTATGTAGGAAACACAATTGCTTTCCTAATAATTAATAATACTACAATTCCAAATGTAACAAGGCAAAAAATTCTGGGCATTATGTTCGAAAAAAACTATCGTTGGCATGAACAAATTAATATGCTTAAAAATCACTTATTCCCAAAGCTAACTTCATAACATATATTGCCACCAGAAGCTTTACACACATAAATTCACTTATCTATCTTGTTAAAACTCTTATTTTAAGCAAAATTGATTATGGTATTTTTCTCTTCGGCAATTGCTCGAAATCAAAATAAATAATATAAAAACGATATATCATCAAACAATTAGAGCTAGTACTTATGCATTTAGAACTACACCTATACAAATATTATTGATTGAATCTGGACTTCCATCGTTAGAACATAAAATCTCCGAATCACTTAAAAGACTTCTTCCTGAAATTCTTTCATACAAAAATTCTGTCATAGACCCTGACGTCACTTCAGTTATATTATCTAAAAAAAGACCGAAAGTTCAATCATCCATCTACAAAATTATCAACAACAATATAATCAACTATAGAGACAAGCTTCCAACATTTAATATAAAGCATCCTGTATGGCTGTTTGACGGCATATCTAATTCTAATTTCGTTTAGTGTTGTTGTTGTTCATTATGTTTTGCTATTGCTATAATAATGATATAAGCGGGAAAATTAATTTTAAATACACTATGGTGAAGGGTATATAAGATTCGGCACTGCCGAATATAGCACTCTTACTTGTTATTCATTAGCTTTTATACATCCACACTAAAGTTTTGACTAAATTTAGACACCACTTATTAAATCCGAAGAAATAAAGGTCAAATATCGTTAGATGTACAAAGCAGATACCCAAATAATTTTACTTATTAAAATATCCACGTCTTCCTCTAATTAAAATAAATTTCAGAATTTGTAAATGGTAAATGGAAAATGTGTGCTGGAGTTATTCAAAATTATTATTTAATTTGAAAAGCTTAGAATAAATACGGCGCTACATACAAAAAAAGTTGTGCAGAATTTTTGGTTCATAATTTTCTAAAAGTATAAAAAGATTTCGAAAGATCAATTTATCCAAATTTTATATGAACAATGCTTTCTATGCATCGTTTGAGAGGTCTACCTATATTATAGAGGTCTACCTATACTATAGATTTGCAAAAGTGCTCTGTCTTTCGGGACACTCTAATGAGTAGTCAAATACATATCTTCATGGTTTTTAGATTTAAACTGCATTTGAAAACTGGAAACCGAATTTATATCAAGATAATTTTTTGATGGCATATTTACCTGATCATAGATTTTTATTGTTATCTCGATTAACAATAAATTTAAATTTTTTATTTTTGATATAAAACTCGATTTGTATAGAAAATATGAGTGATTATGGATCTTTATTGTTTTCTCAAATTGAGAGTTATTTAAAGTAATTTTTTAAAGAGTTATATAAATAGAAATTTTAAGGGGAGATATGAATGATTTTCTAGATAGATTTAGGTGTTAAAGGAAGGAACCACAGCCGAAAATTCGAATTTAAGTGAAAATGAAGAAGCGGTTTTTGTTCAGTAGTTTTTATTCTGCATACAAACGTGGCATCGTAGACATTCATTTAAGATCTATTAAAGATTCTGTTTTAAAACAGTTATTTTCTGAGAATATACAGCAGATTACAGGTTTATAAATAAAAACAGTTTTCCGGTGGAAAACGCTTAAGATGAAAATCGATTTTTGATAATAAATTAAATTGAATACAGATTTTTATTTTACCCAATCGTAAAGTTAGTTAAGGATCTACAAACATTTTAGAATTTTCATATAAAAATAAATGTTTGATTAAAAATTTAATTAAATAATAATTCTCATATACTATGAGAATTATATATCATGTTCTTTAGCATTATAAATGTAACAAAAAGTGGACGGAAAAAGGTCATTGGATTTCATTAAGATCACAACAAGCCCGAAATTAGTGCTATAGGTGTATTTATTCGGATTTGGTGTATTAAACATTCTCTTCCTCAAACACTGTATGTTGCCAAATTTCTTGAAAATCGGTTCATGTTTTTTTATATTTAGCCTAGAAATTTGGTGTTATAGCAGTCATAACCATTTACCATTTACAAATTCCGATTTTTTTAATTAGAGGAAGACGTGGATATTTTAATAAGTAACATTATTTGGGTATCTGCTTTATACATCTAACGATATTTGACCTTTATTTCTTCGGATTTAATAAGTGGTGTCTAAATTCAGTCAAAACATTAGTGTGTATACATAAAAGCTAATGAATAAAAATAATATGTTTAAACATACTTTTGTATAAATGGACGTGTTTTTGAAAAACAATGATGAGACAAAAACGCTGGTTTTACTCTTTAATGAATTACTCAAAATTGTTTGTCAAATTAAAAGTTGTTTTGTTTTCTCTGTCATTCTTCATATGTTTTAGAACAGAAAAAAACTTAATTTTGTTTTTGTCAAAAAGAATTTGAAATCTTCCAAATTTTAATAATTTTGTGCAGAATGTTTCATAATCGTTTCAGAGTTTCTTCAATTGCCTGTACTTTTTCAAATAGAATGAAAATAACTTCCACACCTTGTGGAGGTGTGGGGAGTTTAGAGAGGTAGAAGTTAAATAATAGGGGGATAGGTCGCCGCCCTGTGGTGCACCCTGTTTAACTCTACGGGTTTTGGAACATTTGTCTCTAAACTCAACGAACGATTGACGGCCACTGAGATAATTTACAATCCATCTCTTCAAATTGTTGGGCATAGTGGACTGCAGGATGTCCTGGAAGAGAGTGGTATGGCTGACTGTATCGAAGGCCTTCGCCACTAGGAGTGTCCTTTCACAAGGCCTCTGCTGGTTCAAGCCTTGTGAGATCTGAGTGGTTATGGCGGTTAATGCTGTGCATATTACGAAATCCATGCTGGTAGCGTGCTACTGTTAGGTGGCAGGACAGCTGGGGGAGGAGGAGCGTCTCAAGAGTCTTCGCGACTGGTGACAGGAGGGAAATCGGCCTGTAGGATTGACCCTCTGTCGCGTTCTTCCCTGGTTTCAGTATCGGGATGACTCTACCCTTTTTCCAGACATTTTGGTATTATCAGGCTGCTCACTGACAGGTTAAAAACCATTGTCAAGTACTCGACTCCCCGTTCGCCAAGGTGTTTCAGCATCAGCATGGATTTGCCGTCGGGGCCAATCGCCTTAGATGGCTTGGCTGCGTTGATGGCCCCTGCAACTTCAGAAGGGGTGAAGGGTTGTGGAATGTCCGAGATTGGAAGTTTGTGAAGTTTTCGAACAACACTTCGTTTCGCCTTATCTCTCTCTGGGTGCTCAATAAAAAGTCGTGGTGTCTGCAAACTTAATCGCGACCCTGTCATCCTTCTTCGTCGGGTTGGAGAGAGACCGAACTGTAGACCACAACTTACTGACACCTGAGCTTAAGTTGCAGTTCTTCAAATTATTTAACCATTTATTCCGCTTGTCCTCATTTACCAACCTGCTAATATCGTGATTCAGCTGGACAATACGTGGATCGTCGGGGTTGATATTTCGGAGGTCATCGCGCTCGTCTGCTAGTCTCGCTGCATCTGCTGGGAAGTGCGGCCGCACTATGGATAGTCGACCAGCAGGAATAAAGCGGGCTGCTGCTGCGATGACAGCTTCGCGGAACTTGCTCTCTGCTTGGTGTACGTTGCTAGGAGCTGGAAGATCATTGAAAATGCGATCAGTGAATTCTCTGAAGCCGAGCCAGTTTGTTTTCTTTTGGTTTATGTAGAGACGTCGTTCAGAGACGATAAAGTCGTTGGGTCGATCCAGACAAACGATTATGGGTAAGTGGTCTGAGGCTAGAAAAACTACTGCTCTCCAAGTTGCGTAGTTTATTAGACCAGGGCTCGCTATTGTGATGTCTGGAGAGCTGGCGCAGTTACCCATAATCCGTGTGGGGGCATCATCATTTAGTGTGCAGAAAGTGGATTCGTCAATTTGTTCCGCCAGTGACGCGCCTCTCTGGTCTTCCCCTAGACTAGAGTGCCAGAGCTGATGATGCGCGTTAATTTGTTGTATTATTTTTTAGAATATACAGTACTTAAAACTAAAAGAAATTTTAAAATATCTTCATCGTGGAAAATGTTATAACAGATTCCATATAAATGTAATATCAGTTGCTTTAGTTTCAGCCACTAGTGTATGTGCAAAATTTCGCGGTGATACCGATATTTTTGACAAAGTTATTTATGATAAACCAATTTTCGAGAATATGGAACTTTGTATGGGCAGAATTTATTGAATAAACTTCGGTAGTTTCTAAGAAAACTACTCGAGAATTAGGAAAAAAAACAATTTTTTTCGATTTTGCTGATTTTCAATACCAAACTGCTCAGGCCAATAATGAATATTTTCGGAGAACTTGGTTGATTTCCTTTGATTAGTTTTAACTTTTTATCAAAATACCTTTATTTTTAAGTCCATTTTTATTTTCCAAAGTGTTTGAATTGTTAAGTAGTGTAAAATTGGGTAAATTGTCTGTGAAAATCGGTGAGTTTTCGATATCTATAAATGGGCCTAAAACTTTTCGACTTTAAATCATTTCAAAAAAATAGTGATTCTAATACTTTTACCAATTTATTTCATTTTTTATTCATGTTTTTAAGATATTTTGAAAGTGAGACCCGCGATTCTGCTGTATTTTTTAAATATTTTGTTACATACCCAATCCATCATAATAACTTGTTTCTATTATTTTTTCCAACGCATATTTTAGTTAACTTTAAATAGAAAGTATATATAAATAGCTTTCATTTGAGATATTGATCATCAAATTCTACCATATAGTTTGGCAGAAAATAGGTTTCCCACTGAACAATTTTTTTGTTTCTATTTTTTTGTCGGCATTATATGTTATACATAAATTTTACAGTAACGAATAAACAAATATATGTATATTCGGGTTGCCCCATTTGTATGGACGAATAATAAGGTATCAATGTTCCCAACTAAAATAAAAGTTTAATTGATTCTAAGTTACCATTTCTCAAAATTTTTGTCCTGGAGTCAATATTTGGTGAGCTGGATCAAAGGATAAATATGTCCTTTTTTTGAGGTTTTATGATTTTTTCATATTCCTCTAAAGAAAATATATGAATTATTGGTATCCTTTTTGTGTAACAGCAAAAGTAATCGAACAATATTCCAAAGGATCAAGTAATGCCCCTGAAGGCTTCTATGGCTCTTAGATGTGCTCCTGTTATAAAAAATAGTGATATGCTATGAATTATTATGTTTAAAATTTATTTAAACATGTTTATAAAGAAGTTGCTTTAGTTTTTGCCAATTTAAATCTAGTATGAATTTCTTTTCTTATAATTTTGTAGTTAGTATTATACATTACTTAAAACAAAAAACTAATTTAAAATATCATCAGTGTGGAAAATTTTATAAACGATTCCAATTAAATACAACATCAAATCCTTTAGTTTCGGCCACTAGTGTACGTACATACATACATATAATTTTTTTCTTGATATACATACGTTATAATATATATATATATATATATATATATATATATATATATATATATATATATATATATATATATATATATATATATATATATATATATATATATATTTCAACTTATAATACTTTTTATTTTATTTTAGCTTTCAACTCATGGCCTTAAGGAAAAATATTGCCTAACAAATTAAAATGGACACATTCGATGTCACCGATAAAAACAGGTTAATATTTATTTACTATAATATAAGATATGTTGTTACACAATAATAACTATAATTATACAAGATTTAAATAACATAGTTAATCACAAAAGTCATTAGATATATATTATATGCTTTATTTATTAAAAATGGAGAGTAATATGTGCGAAACTTACATATCAAAAGATGTACGTTTCGTGACTTTGTGATAGATAGCATAAAAGTCCAACTATGCATACTGGAACCGCCGCACAGAGGGAGAAATGGTCAATCTGGTGGATCTTAATTATGTATTTATAAATAGTGATCTGATCTATTAGAAATGTTCTGTGAAAATATAGCCAAGGACATGGTCTTTAAAACAAAATTTTTTTGGGACATGCCACTTTCCTAAAGGGTGCACCTAAAGTGTTGTATAGGTCACTTTCCTAAAGGGTGCGCCATAAGGTGTTGTATTGGTCACCCTCGATATTTCATATATTTAATAGTATGTAGTAACATGTTTATAATTTTTGTTTCCATTCGATTTGAACACTTTTTGAAAACGCTATCATGTTTTAGACATTTTAAGTTATATTTATTGATATTTGGACTTATACCCTACAGTCAGTATGCACCGAAACTATTACTATTTTTTAATTTTATTATGGTATTTTAATATTTAAAACGTGATTTGTTTTTATTTGTAAAGCATTTACGTCATTAAATTTGGTGGGGGTATTTATGTTTGTATTAAAGTTATTTTTGCCAAATATTATCTATACACTAGTATTTATATGGGAATTATGGATATATAAGTAATTTTATGAAGGGACTTTGTATGGGGGGTAGGTTCAAATGTGGTCCGATCATTATGGAAATGGACAATATTATTTAGGCTTATATATAATTTAGTTATACCGATTTTTGTAGTGATACCCTAAACTAGATGTTTGGTTGTATGGGGACTAGGTAAAATAATGGACCTATTTCAATTCTCAATAGATTTCATCCTTCGGCAGAATAGTGTCATGTATGGCTGTTAAAAGTTTATTTTTTTTGGGTCTGGTTCACTGTACCAAATGAAAAAAGTGTGAATTTTTTCATTTAGAACACTCATTAAAAACGTGATAAGTCAAAAAGTTGCAGCTAATTTTCTTACTTGACATAGAAAACAAACCAAAAAGACTAATAAACTAAACATTAGAGCGGAACTTGTCGAATTCGCCCTACTTTTATTCAACAGAAGATTATGTTACACATAATAAAACACTCTCCTACAAAGGTCATTTTGTGTACCACAATTCTGAACTAACCCGTACAAGGAGAGGCCGGAAAAAATTTTTTTCCCTTAATACATTCCTAATAATTTCAATTAAACCACTAATCCAAATAAAAAATCTAAACTTAAGATTTTATGTATAATCAAACTTAAACTGTTAACAAGTAAGAGTGTTATATTCTTATATACCCACCATCAAATCACTGCCATATAAATAATGAAAAATTAATGAGAACATCAGGGTAATATTTGAAAGAGGTCCATTAATGGGGATTAAACTATTGACAGTGCTCTTTCGAATTAAAAATATGAATTTATATAGGGAGTAGGGTTATTTATACATATATGGACCATTTCTCATAAAAGTCAGTAGGAAGATTTCAGTACCTTATTTATTTCAAATTTCAAAAGCGCAACTTTTTTACTTGACTCCATATTTCTTGCTCCAAAAAGAAATGTTATTTTTTATTCTTTCTACAGTTTATACTATTTTTTAATTTTTCTGCGGTCTCGCCTGCAAAGTTTGCTTCTGCTTCGTTTTGGACTCAAAATTATTGTTTTTAAATAAGATTATATTAGGATTGTAATAATAAGCCTTAAACTTACAATTTGTATCGATTTCAATTTGAAAATTGTCTACAAATTATTAAATTTTTATATTTTTGCAAACTGGCTCTATTTTTTGCCACATTAAAATTATGTGACGCGTAAATTATTGGAAAAACAAGTTAGAGTGCTATATTCGGCTGAGCCGAATCTTAAATACCCTCCAGCTACTTTTATATTAATACTTTTCTAATTGATCAAATATGTGTATAAATAAGTTTTCTGATGTCTTAAATAGAAAAAATCCCAAGATTTGAACAGCTTAAATCTATTACAATTCCAAGATTTATTGAACATTACAAACGCCAGTTTCTTTATATTTTTATAGCACTTAGCGGTATTTAGTAATTTGCATGTATGCATGTGTGTGAAAGATTTAAGGATTTTCAAAATACATACATATAATTTTGTTCTACACAAATTGATAATGCAACTAGTTAAATACGGTTAAAGCGCTCTTAGGGGCAGGACCTAGTATGGGAGATATTTCCAATTATAGACCGATCGTAAAAAATTCTTTAAGCTAAATTTCTGTATATAAAAGCTATATTTCAGTCAAAATTTAAGTTTATTCGATTTTCTGAAGGGAACCTTGTATGGGACCGACCGTACCCATGTTATGACCCGATCGTGAAAAAAATCTTGAAATATAATTGTTGTATACAAAACTAATATTTGTGCCAAATTTTGTATCAATAGCTTTATTTGGTAATGAGTAATGTGCGTTTAAGAGATTTTCGTAAAAGGCCCTTGTATGTGAGCTATGACCAATTATGTATATAAAGATAAAATTTCAAAATTCTGTATCTATATCATTATTTGGTAATGAATATTGTACCTTTAAGTGATTTTCTGGAGAGCTATGACCAAATATGGACCGATCGTAACACAATTTTATAGTTTAATTTATGTATATAAGAGCAATATTTTTGCTAAATGTATGGATATCAATATTTGGTAGTGAGTTATGAGTGTTTAAGTGATTTTCGGGAGGGATCCTTGTATGGAAGCTATGACCAATGGTGGACAATCGTGAAAAAATTTTGAAATAATTTATGGGTATCACTATTTGGTAATGAGCTGTGTGCTTTTAAGTGTTTTTCTTAAAGGGACCTTGTATGGGAGCTATGATCAATTATGGACCGATAGGAAAACAATTTCACAGTAATATTTCTGTGCATATAAGCAATACTTGTACCAATTTTTATATGATTATCTTTAGTAATGAGTTATGCGCGTTCAAGTGATTTTCGGGAGGGGACCTTGTATGGGAGCTAAGACCAATTATGGACCGATCCAAAAAAACTTTCATAGAAATATTTCTGTATATAAGAGAAATACTTGTACCAAATTTTATAGGGATATCTTCATTTAGTAATGAGTTATGCGCGTTCAAGTGATTTTCGGGAGGGGACCTTGTATGGGAGCTATGACCAATTATGGACCGATCGGAGAAATATTTCACAGCAATAATTCTCTGTATATGAGCAATACTTGTGCCAAACCTTATATGGATATCTTAATTTAGTAATGAGTTATGTGCGTTTAAGTTATTTTCGGGAAGGGACCTTGTATGGGAGCTATGACCAGTTATGGACCGATCGGAAAAAATTTTACAATAATATTTCTATACATATGGGCATTACTTATACCAAATTTTGTATGGATATCTTAATTTACTAATGAGTTATGCGCGTTTAAGTGATTTTTGGGAGGGTACCTTGTATGGGAGCTATGACCAATTATGGACCGATCGAAAACAAATTGCACAGTAATATTTTTGTGCATACGACCAATACTTGTACCAAATTTTATATGGATATCTTAATTTAGTAATGAGTTATGAGCGTTTAAGTGATTTTCGGGAGGGGACCTTGTATGGGAGCTATGTACAATTATGGACCGATCCAGAAAATGTTTTATTCTGAATGAATTGTATTGACATAAGATTTTAATTTGTAAAATTTGGTGAAGATGTCGACATTGTGACGGAAGTTATTAACAAAAAACCCATTTTCCGGGAATATGTAATTTTGTATGGAGGTATATGAAATTGTGGACCGATTCCGGCAATTTTCAGTAGAGATCAAGGTCTTCCGAAGAAACGAATGTATGGTGATTTTCATGCAATTATCTTGCATAGTTTTCGAGAAAATTACATCAGAATGTGTAAAAAATGGTTATTTTTTTGGAGGTTGTTTTAAATTTTGATTCATAACTTTTCCCGGCTTGAACCGATTTTGCCCATTTTCAATACCAAACAACTTAGGAAAATGAAGAACATTTTAGGTGAATTTGGTTAAACTCTATTGCTTCGTTTTATCGTGAGCGTGTTTTACACAGACAGACGGACATAGCTAAATCGACTCAGAGTTTGATAAGAACCCAGAATATATATACTTTGTTGGGTCTCAGATGAATATTTGTTGGTGTTACACACGGAATGACAAAGTTATATATACCCTCTGTCACCACTGATGGTGGTGGAGGGTATAATAATGGTATTATATTCATAACTGATCAATACAAAATTTCAGTTAGTTTTTCCAACTTAATTTTTCATTGGAGGGATTTTAAGTAAAAGAACGTCACTGTATGTCAAATATTTTTACGCCAATAATGAGCTTTAAAGTCATTTTCTGAGGGGGACCTTATATGGGGGTAGGGTCAATTATAAACCTATCCGCATGAAATTTGGTGGAAAGAGAGTTAAAGGACCGTATATGGGGGGTAGGGTCAATTATGGACCGATCCACATAAAATTTTGTGGAGAGATATTGGCTCGCATGAAAATTATGTGTGCCGAATTTCATTGCTATATTCGTATTTTTATGCCAGTATTAGCATTATAACCATTTTCTAAAGGGTCCTTATATGGGGAGTGTGGCCCTATGTCCGCCATAATTCAGAATTTTATTTCGGAAGTCAAAAAACTGACTTATGCGAAATTTTGTGGCATTTGCTTCATAAACAACGAATTTTCGAAGCTTTTCACACAATATTCCGAGGATACATTTGTATGGGGGCTATGTGAAATCGTTGACCGATTTTGCCCATTTTCAATACCAAACATTTCTGATCAATAAGAAATATTTTGCGAAAATTTCATAGCGAGCTAAATGAAATAAAAGATTAAAATTCCTTTGGTCCGAAT